ACATGGAAATTAGCGAGCGGAAACAACGTGGAATTTCAATTGTTTTAGGACTGCAAATGTTAGTACGCGGATGCTATACCTGATTGAAATTACAATCGGAAAAGTGCTCCAAATCACTACTTCTCTCTTTATTGCCCGGACGTTCTTTGTGCCGAGGACTATTAAAATCCATCAGACCTGGAAGCATGGGTCGATACTAACAGCTAGGCATCCTTATATTATGACGGCACAACACCAGCCGATCCTGTCTGGCCTAGATCCGATGCTGACCGCCAATTTAGCCGCTCTTGTTGATCAAAATTTCAAACCGAATAAGAAGCTATTTTGTTTTTCAATGACCTTCAAAATATCTGGGGTGTTTTCTGGAAGAGGTTACGAAACGTCTGCGTACTATCGGTTCTACTCGCCTTCCAGGATAAGGACCGCCTGACCAACTACAGCCGCAGTTACTGTCGAAATATCTCGCGACTCCAACTTGACCCTATATCTGATCTTTTAAACAAACCAAATGACCCGGGAGCATCAATAGCAAACTACGAACCCAAGTTATCCTACGACGTCGGCCTGTACAGCGTTATTATGAAATGTGAAAGCCTGCATTATAGCTTTTCGTCGAATCGAAAGTGTAATTTTGTGAAAAATCATCCCTGCTTCATCTGCTTCCATTAAACCAGTTTCGGCTTTTCTCTAAACTGTCAATGTCGCAAGAGCCTGCACTGTTTGCTGTATTTACAATGATAAAGTGGACTCGCTATATATATATATATTAATATACCCCGCCATACGGTTCTTTGCAAGACAAACACCAAAAGGTGAACACGGTCCTTCTAAAGATGAAGAAAAGCGCCCGCAAATTGTTGTCTTGTTTGGTTCGAGAAACACAAAGTGGAAAACATAATGAAGCCTGTGACACAATAAAATAGTCTCTTGATATCGAATAACCTGTTTCATTACAACGGCACTGTCGGATTACTATCTTTGTCAAATCATAGCAGTCCAGCTAGTTCGTAGATTTATAATTCATTTTTTTGACTGACATAATTGCACATTCTGGAGAATAGTTACACGACTCAAATCCAGCTGTCTACCTACGCCTAGATTTGTTCCTGCGTCTGGCTGTGTCTTTAAGGGGCTTTCTGCGTCACCACAGCTCTTTATCTTGCCCCAGGTGATCGTAAATTTAGTCTGGGATAAACGACATCGCATAACTGGTCATCTTAATCGAAATGGTCATTTGCTTCCCCGTGTTCCAGAATTATTACGGGTTTGCGAGCTTTCTGAGTGAAGTAGGCAACCGAATGTCCCGAATCTTTGTGACTTCAGCCCTGATGTGCTTTCTGATAAATTCAAAGCCACATCAGTTCGACAACCATGCAAATCGGCGATATTGAATGTCTCTCCCGGCACTGCCAACCACGTCCGAAAGTTTTGTCAGAGATTAATACCACCTTCTGTCACTTGGACCCTGTCGGATAGCAATGCCGGGCCATAGCAAAGACGGTAGCTCTTTCAGAGGGACACATAATGGACCGGTCAAATTTTGGTCGTGATCGCAAATGGACCTGCAAACTGTGGAGCTACCAACACAACGAGCGTGCGATAATGCTCAGGTCTGTAGTTCGAAAAACGGAACAGATATGAAATTTGACAAAATATCACCTAGATTCGCTTATTTCGAACGGCGTACTAGGTGTACACGTCTTGAGTACATCGTTTGGACCATGAAAATGCTCTCACGGCCCGCTCCTACTTTCAGATTGTGGTTTAATTTCGTCCTATCTGTGTTTTCGTTTATGTGAGCCTCACGTCGGTACTCCGAAGATTAAAGTAAATAACAGTATTTCAGTGCACAGCTGCCACGAATCTTTAAGGAAGTACGAGAATTAGGTTACTGATTGTTTGCCCATACCTAGAAAGGGTCGGTCCATAGGTCAGGACACTATCTTTGTGCCATAATTGCTGGGTTATCTCAAGATCCGACCAGTTCCCGCGAGATTCATTCTTATAAATTCCGAATGTGGTTAATACTACTTATCTCTTATTGAAGAAGTGTTTGTATCCCAGTATATCTGGCCCGAAAAGTTCGAAATACATCCAATATTAACAAAGTAACGGGAGTTGTTATGCACTAAAGATGTACTTGTAAGATATAAGCAGTTTCCCTAGAAAGGAAAAGTTCCACAATTCGTATGTCTACCCTCTGAATAGAGCCGGTCAGCATTAGATCACGCGTAGTGAATGGATTAGTTGAAAAACGAAGGCCGCCATATCAACTTAAGGCAGATATTGCTCAGCACGATGATTAATTCTCTATAGCTGAATGGTTGCGTGTTCAAAGTTTTCTTTGAGAAGCTTTGGGCTTAGAAATCTAGTAAGATTTGTGGGGCTTCTGGTGCTTTCAAGCTAAGATTAGCTTCACACAGTTCGTGGAATTCAGAGCAAAGTAAAGTGTTCAAATCACCATAGGGGAGTTGAAGCTTCTTTGAATTCGAATCGCTGTTCCAACAAGATGGACATTTCAGGGTTCTCTCCTCACTTGGTGCACTCAGAGTAGTTCAGGTTTGAAGATCGATGGCTCGCTCATGTTTCAGAAACCCCCTAATTTTCAGTGATTTTAGTTAGTCCTGAGGGTATCACAAAGCCCTGTGGCCTTTTTGGTTCTCTGCATATATTTGTGTAGTAACAGCACATTTTTTCTGCGGAAATTTTGGACCACTCATGCCTAGAGTGCAAAACAGGGCGTATAGGAGAGCTGATATTTTTATATGAGGGATCTCGGAATCTTATCTGCAAGAAAAACGGAACTTCGCCACAAAGTATTTTGTTTCCGTTGCTTTAAAACGATACGCTGGTCAACAAAAATCCAACCAGTTTTCTTGCTGCCCGGAAGTCTTATCGTACGTTTCCAAGGTGCCCGTATTGTCTGCAATAGGGTTTGTTTCTAGCTTGATTTTGGTTGATGTCGGCAATGAAGCCCTTCTCCAAATTCAGAAATATTAAAAAATATGCTGATTGAGGCATCCAAAGAAATAATTTTACCCAGTTTAGCGACCAGCCTATCGCATAAGTTTGATTTACAGGCCTTGAACGTATTAGGTGAATCATTGTGCTAAAAACAATCAGTCAGCCACTGGTTAGTTCAGTTCGTAAGAGTATGTCAATCCATTTTCTACCGAAATCAGTGGTAATGTATTGAGCAAATTTCATCCGTCTGTTCGTCTGATTAGAAAAGATATTCCGACATCTACATATTAGGCCCCACCGATGCCTGAGAGGGTCTCTGTGCCTCATATCCTCTCAATAAACACTAAACAGAGAAGATAGTTTTGAACCGCATTCAAATTAAGTAGGCAAAGAAATGAGTGACTGAGTACCGTTCCGTAGAGCAGCTTTGTGCAATGTATTTGTTACCAGCTTCCATTTATTTTGGTAAACAATGATGTTCTTCAAAAGAAAAAGAAGAAACGGAAGCAAATTTGTTAGACTTTCTGGGTGAAGAATCACTGAAACCAAGTAAGGTGTTCTTAGCCACATTATGGCATCGAATCAATTATTAACTGCACCAACTGAATTCCCGTTTCATGATGTTCGTTTTCTGATTACTCAAATACAGGACAACCTGTCTTCTCCTGTGTCTGATCATTGCAACACTGACAACCTATCGAGTTCAAACCTGGCTTACTCACTACAGTAATCTAGCCCCCAAGATGGTTATCTCCGCCTATGACGAACATCAGAGAGAGCTGCCCTTTCCGCTCGTCACTCTATGCAATATCAATCCAGCAAGGTAAGCTTGTTCACATACACACACACACACACAAACCGTCTGTACATGTATGTGGTAAGAGGTCATGGTCAGATTTTCTTGGATGTTGTTTCCGTGGGCTTTTCAACTGTCGCAAAAATTGAAGGTCTGCACGCAATTATTCTATCCGTTTTAGAGTAACTCTCTCATAGTTGCGGTGTAAACCGGTTGCTCAACTGGAGGTAGTGGCCAAGCACAAAGTGCTCTGAACCGATGGCCAATTTATTGTATCGCTCAGTATAGGATACAGTATATTTATATAGTATACAGTATATATGATGGCCAATTTATTGTATCGCTCAGTATAGTATACAGTATAGTATAGTAGTACAGTATAGTACAGTATAGTATACAGTATATATATAGTATATAGTAGTATAGGACTTGGTCTCAGTGAGGTTTCCCTCGGACTATTTTGGATTTCTACCAGAGATGAGTAGCCTAAAGATCATGCGCGTCGTTTGAGCTTGAAGCATACCTATAGTGCGAGAGTATATGAATTTAGATCCGGTTGTACACATCATCCGCACAGCAAGGTGATTGCATGGTAATTGCACCTCTAGACACGTAGTCAACCCTCGCTAGTGTTGCTCTCTGGCAAATTCAGTAATTTACGTTCCTTAAAATGGTAAAAGAAAATATGTCGTACCGACTGTAGCACAAGATCCCCTTATATTTCGCTTTCTCAAGCAACCTAACCTCACCCAACCAAAGTGTTTTTGTGACGAGCGAACGACGTTCCTGGTAGGAAATGTAGAACTAATTGCGGAGTAACTAGAAATGCAATAAAAGTACGTCTTTTTCTAGCCTCCAGGTAACGAAGATTGAAGGTCACGTTCCCATCAGTGACGGCAGTCACTTGATTGTTCTTGTATTTCCCATCGATACCACTAAGTAGCTCTGGTGATCGACCAGGACTTTTTTCGTCGACGAATTGCGTATGTTCATTCGGTCGACTTCTTTTGAGATAAGAAGTCCAGGAGAATATAGTGTGGAGAAAAAACTACACCTCGAAGGCGGAAACAAAATTATCGACCTCCGACTTATCGAACCGGTGTTGTTACTAACGCACTCTGATTTCACATGAAACTCACCGCATCTATTCTTAATATGTTTATAACTGATGTAGTTTTAGCGCTACTAGTGAACCTGCTGTATGAGTTACAATGAATAAGGCGTGCATGTCATCCAGAAACCCGACTGAAATTGGGAGGGAGGTCAATGTCTCAAAGCTACAAACTTCATAGAACCTCCTGTTTGTTAGACGATTGGTCTGCCAGGCGAGGTCCCAGGATTTCTAACTGTCAACCCACCAGAAAACTTAAGTAACAACTGTCAGCTTTGTACTTGCTTCAGACAACAAACGTTATCTAGTTCTCACTGTTTCTGTTGTCTAGAGGACTCGTACTGTACAATCCGAACTCACCCAGTCAAGTCACGCGCGGAGTGGACTACGAGCTATTTTCCGATGCAGTTCAAGGTCGGGTGACAGAGAATCCGCCAAAAGGGAAACTGGAAATTCCCATCTACCGTCTTATGGATCAAGCGTCACACCAGTTGGTGGATATGCTGAAATTGTATGTACCGTTTTGTGAATTTAATAACCCTAATGGTTATGCGAGAACTTCAGCTACTGTTCACGTTATATCTGTCTTATAATTTACATGAAGAGTAAGAAAATAATGGATATTCGCTTCTAATCCCATAAAAAGTGATCACATTTCCTCTGTCACATTCCACAAAAATGCGCACCTCTCGGCACGGCTGTTAGACACAGAGTTGGTAAAAGTGGGTTGGCAGAAAGGCTAAGAGTGATGCATCAGACGGCCAGAGTTCCGTTTTCAACACAGACGAAGGTATGCGTTGCCGATGAGCTCTTTCCCAGTTCTCCTCTTTGATGACTGTTCACACTGCAGGTGACCTGGAAATCAATCGCCCAATCGAGATAGCACGAAAATTTTTTTCTGTCTGTACTTCTAAACGTTAGAGAAACAACAATGGTATTGGAACTCAGATGTCTTTTGGAAGATGGGGGAAAACCAGCGGTTTTTAAAAAATTTACCTATGTAACATTCCGTTTTTGTACAAAAACTTCAGATTTACGCAGCTAAATTGATGCCACCTGGGAAGCGGGAGGCAGCTGAACTCGTGTACATTTCGTTTATGGTGAATTTCTTTAGAAACTGCTGTATAATGAGCCAACGGCCACAGCCAGTCTTTTGGCAATCGGAGTGTTGCGGATAGACCTTTTATAAGCCGTCCCTCCTCGGAAGAATGCAGCATCACTGCTTTCATAAATATGGACATACTGGCCGCCTGGAAGAATCGCCTCACTACCTTGACGCCCATCGCAGAGGTTAGTATCACTTCACCTCTAGACCGCCCTGTAATACGATTACTCGCAGTACGGGGACTCGCTGTTCTTCCTCGGGCTGCTCTCCGTTGGCTTTCCTGGCATAGTTGAACTTTTCAAACTGAGTTCCTGCCAGTAGGGTCCGCATGATTACTTCAGTATAGCTTCAGTATCGAAGCCCGACCAATACGACAAGGCGACGGCTCTAAATTGGGGTATTTAAGATAATTAGTTAGGTTTCAGCGCAGCAACTGGAAAGTTTCTGCAGGACTAACAGCATGATCAGAAAAAGTCAGATAGTTTTCTGAAATTAGTCTTTTTAGTTACACGCGTATGGGCATTTTTCGCGGGTTGTACAATAAGATATCTTGCAAGGACGGTGGAATGACAAACTGTCCTTTAGCTTCATGCCAAGAATGAGTGTTGACTGGAAGATTATCCATTAATTCGTTGCTCCGCGAGTCACTTTAACACATGTTTTAAGCCTGTCTGATATCACCTTGGCCACAAGACCACCTTTGGAGATGAAACCAGTGTTATTGACCGTGCAGTTTTTCCTTTAAAGCGGGTCGAAAGGCCATTCAAGTTTGAGCCGTTTTAAACTTCTGTTCAGTTTGTCGTCCTGGTAGATGCCTGTTGCTCTATCCTGGAAACCGTTCATTATTTCTACCATCGTTTACGGGAACAAAGCTCACAGAATGGAGTCAATGCACATCCCAGGTTTATTGCTTATGCGCAGTTCGCTGAAGTGTCCCAGTGATTCTTCCAGTCATCCGGATTTTAGGAAGCTAATGCACTTTTGCATTTCTGGCTCTAGAGTGACCTTGACGCCTACCAGAATTTCGTTAGTACATCTGGGATGAAGACTGTAACATCACTGACGTGGCGTCTGCCAGCAGCGAATGTCTCCAGAACAGAATTCATCGAAGAGCTCTCAAACCTGTTCATGAGTATGTCATTTGGCAATAGGTTAAGTGGGGACCGCCTGGTCAAACCATCTTTCTCTCTGAAAACTTTGTTGTCCAGTGGAAATCGCATGCGGTACTCCAAAATATTGAAACCCCTTCCAAGCTGTCATTTGGGATACTGATACCCAGTCCGTTAGTGTCGAAAGAATTATAGCAGCTGTCTGCAATTCCATGCAGTGGTACAGAGGTGAAAAGTTATGCGGTATTAGATGAAAACATTTTCTACCCGGTGGTTGGCGGATGCTTAATCATGCCAACGAAATCACAACCAATTGACGGATAAACGTCTGGTCAAATCCCTTTTTCCAATTACCAGTTAAGAAAGGATAAGCCATGAGGGCGTTCAAGTATCCAAAATCGCTTTTATTAGAGCTTCATCCTTACATATTTTTCAAGGAATATAAAATGACGGTAATACTCTTCCACTCCGTCATAAATGTCTGCCTTTGGTTGCGTCATTATTATTAAATTATTATTATTTTAAATTTTGTTTTCTTTTCAATCGATTTTCCAATTCATCTCTTTCTGTCCCGTTCTGCCAAATGGCTCAACTAATTGAGTAGTAATTTTGTCACTTTTGTTCACCATAACGACCTCACCGTCTCTGTCGGTGTCTGTAGATAAGAAAATCGCTGTTACTTTACAGCTCCTTCACTGCGTTCTGCGTGTTTCTATGATACTAATTCCCACCATCTCGTCCAAAATGGTCAAATATTAATGATGTGAGATTTCTAAGTAAGATTTTCTGTGTTCCATTTTTAGTTCAATGTAATACCATAATCATGTCCCACTTATTAGAAGCATGGTTAAGATCAGGGTCGAAAACCGAGTATTTCGTATATTTTTGCATGAAACTACTCAATTTTCCCACGTGGACATTGTGATCTTGGTGAAACACACGCTTCCGTCTCCTTTCACCTGGCACACAATTTAGCGTACTGAGACCTGCTGCTACTCTTGTCGATCATTCTTCATCACTGTCTGACGTCTTCCGTTCTGCTCAAGAAATTGCAGAATCTCCATTGTTGTTAGGCTAATAGAAAGTTTGTTGTTATCACGCAACGAATCTGTAGCATACCGGCTCTTATCTATAGCCTGTTTCTATTGTTACCCTCACACTCCTGGTGCTAGATGACGTTATGTTCTACTCATTTCAAAAATCCTTATTTAATCTACGAGGAAAATTAATGCAAATTTAGGCTATTCCTATGCAGCACTCGTTCTTCGCTTGGAGATAAACTTCATTCTACTAAATATTTTACAAGACTGCCTCCATTCTGTTCATGTCGGATACCTTACTCTTCTATTTGAAGCATCCATGGGACGATGGTCACCTTGAAATGCAACAGGTCTTGAACAGTTTAATTTGCTTGCTCTTCCGTCTTTTCTGAAGGGTAGTGTCTGTTCACTCTCCTAGAGAGGAATGGGCTAGGTGATATTTGTCAATGCAAGAATCGCAAAGGCCAGAATCTAGTTTGCTAATTCGTACCACCTATGGCATCGAAAAAGCATACCACTAGGTCTCAAGGGCCACATGTATCAGGCCACACTAAGGGCTGTCTTGTTGTATTGTTGCGAACCATGGCCTCTGAAGACGGATGATGTGAGGCATCTTCGGAGTTTTGGCCACCAGCGTCTCAGGAGTATTGCTGGCGTCAGCGAATTTGTAATGAGATAATTACAAAACGGGATTCGGTTGTGCGGCAGGTACTTAAATCTGAGAAAACACCCAGCACCACCGACTGGGATAGCCCGGCCATGTGTTACGCATCCCAAAACACCATCTGTCGAAACGAGTATAATTCGCCGTATCTCCTTCAAAATGGTGTAAACCTCGAGGTGGACAACTGGCAGAAGAATGCGAAAGAGATTGAAGAGAGTTTGAGCATTGTTGGTGCAATACTCCTTCTAGGATGGGGTCCCTCACCCACTCTTTTCTCTTATCGGCATTACAAGGCTTTAAATGCAATGAAATATACTCTGTGACTGTCCGACAGTGAAGCACTACTGTCAACACTGATGTTGCTGTCTGTGATGATGATGCTGGTGGACCGCCTGACACTGCAGTAGGAAAGAATGATTTGTTCTCTCTTTGTTTCTTAGCAGTGGCAGGCATTGCCTAGATGCCATCAACTCCTTGCCGTCGGCTCATCGAGTAAATGATGGAATGGTTTTCATTTCTAATTCTGTGGGTTCAGCCTGGTGTCCATGGTTTTAGAAGCAATGGCTTTTTGTTCACACTGGCCTTATTGACACGGTGCCCATCACAGTCCGTGTTTCTTAACGTTTGTTGCGAAATATCGTGTACCGTTTGAGTGATTTCCCAGTCTGAGTACTCTATTTTGGAAATTAGTTGAGAAAATAATGAACTAGTAGTGACTTCGATAAAGTTCCAAACAGCAATACTTTATTAACATAGAATTCTCATTCATCTTCCCCACCCCGCATTTATCCAGAAATCAACTACAATTCATGAGCAACCCAAGTACAGGATGTCATTCTTTCGTAGATTTCGTTTCCCTTGTCAACTCGTCTCCTACCAGCGAGCAGAAATACATTTTTTGATGCCGCTTTCTAGTTGACAAAAGGATGTGAACACGTATGTGAACACATCAGTGGCTGTGACCACGCGTGCGCGCGCACACACACATCTACACAAGACACTCGTAAACACAGAGCAGTCCAATCATATTTTCAAATCTGTGCAAAGTCTTCAACACTTCCTGAGCTACTATGGTTACGGTTTTTGTTTAAACGCAAAATATACTCTCTGAAAATAACCGGACTTCAGGGTGCTGAAAAAAATCTCTATGAGCCTTTTCACTGTGAAGTGTTTTACTAACCACAAGAAGCTAAGGAAACGAGTGTGGCTGTAGATTTCCGCTGGTCCTGTCAGCCTCGTTTGGAGTAAGTTCGTTAGGAGGGCAACGGCATAACCGACCGGAAGTGGAAGAAACGAGGACCGTTTGGTTGTGACAAGAACGACATACATCTGTGCACACTGGCGAGTAAGCCAGAGCTGCATAGCGGCCGCGGTTTGCCGCTGTAATGGGTTCCCATGGTTATCAGACTTTATTTCTCTTCAAGTAAGGCGACGTCTATTGCGCCTGGCAACCTGTTTCCCGGTAGCTTTACACTGCCGAATCCGTGTATTATACTGCAGTCTGCAGTGTGCGTATAACTTGCATCGTCAACTGCTAATAAAGAAAAGAAATAGGCTTGCCTTACGAAAAACAGCGTGTTCGTGGAAAAATTCGAATTAAGTTTGCATGCTTCAAGCAATATATAGAATAGATATGCCCTGTTTCCACAGGCTGAACCTTTTATCAGTAGCCTGCTCAGTTTATTAAAAATCGTTCATCAGTAGCACCCTTTCGGTGCCTAGCTGCCATGCCACACGAAGGAGGCACGAGGGCTGGGATACTGCCAGGTAGCCCAAAACTAGACAGTGGAAGTCGAGTGGCAGAGGTCGGGTTCGAACCACGGACCTTCCGGGTCAGTAAATTCGCGCTCTAACCACTTGGTCCATCTCGCCCCCGTTCAGATTACTACGAGTATAGCAAACTTATAGGGCGGAATAAATACGTCTACTGCATCCCGACCAAATCTTAATACTGGCACATTGCTTTGGTAAACTTTACACTTGTCCTGTTTACGATATTAGTTGGCTCTTCAGCTACCTGACTGCCACCAATTTCCTATGTAAGGTACAAAAGTAAACTTTTGATTTGTGTGTGGATTGTCGTAGATACCTGTTCGTGTTGGCAGCCAGCTGACCAGCAAGAGAGAAGCCAGAGGAGTGTGTACTCCTTTGTTCGATCAACAAGGCAGGTATTAGTGCTGTCTATACAGCACAAAGTTTAAGACATTACTGCATGCTAATTTTCCTTGGTGATTCATACGACGATGCATGTTGGAATAGCATCCTCAGTAGACTCCAAAGTTTTGCCCTCAACAAGATGTTTCTCTTTGGAAGGTTGACCCACTTGAACTGTACTGAGTTACTGAAATTCCACTTGCATGCGGGTACTTCCAACCACTTTCTTGAGGTGTCTGAAGCAGTCTGTCTGAAGTGATCAGTCACGCACAGTCATGATTTTAGCGCGTTTCTAAATTTTGTCTATTGCACACATTACCTTCGTTCAACGGTTCGGTTATGAATTATCATATCAGACATTGTTTTCGTATCCGAGACTAATTTTAACTGCCAGGGTACGCTCTGTCAAATACTGCACCTCAGTACAGCCGTAACAGTTAACCATAAAACCTGAATCAATGAAAACACATTGTGTTGTCTTCTCTATGGAAGTGTATCAGCCTTTTGAGGAACCATAAGTTGCATCTCTTCAAGTTTTGGTGGGTTCGTTTACACAAGGGATCATTGCAGTGCAAAAATTCTGTGCGTCCAAAACTTGTTCCTAGATGAGGGCGTTTCATCCAGAGGAAGAAGCCTCTCGATTGTTCGAACCTGAATATTCTCAAGGACGATGAGCCCAGGAATGAATAAAACGGCTGTCCAAGGCTACTTTGATCACGTAAAAGGAAGCTAAAACTTTCCCAGACGGTTAACTTTATGCTTAGCTGGATGTCAGTCACAAGCAATCCAACCAGAGAGAAGCAACACAAGTTTCATTATGTTATCGACAGAAGTACTGTGCGCTGGTCACTGCCGTCTTCCTGGATGGGGACCCCGAGACGAGCCACATCAATGACTAGAGACATTGTCAGACATGGTCCAGTCGAGCCCTCAATGGCGCTTGTGCATTCAACCTATTGCCTGCAATGCATATCTCCTTTTCCAACCCCTCATTTGACAGCCCACTGACAGTGCTGGATTTATGCACCAATTTATCAGCTCCCGCCTGCAATGCGCAGCTACCTACCCACCCACCCCCCAAATCATCGGTGAACGAAACTGCGGCAGCTACAACCACTGTACGACGAGTACGGGGTTATCACAGCTGACAATGATGATGATGATGATGATGATGATGATGATGATGATGATGATGATGATGATGATGATGATGATGATTGTGCTATTAATACGAATAAGAACATGAATAAATCACTCATTTTCAAACTAGTATTCTATATTACTTCGAGACTGTTTCTGGCAAAAATGAATAAATCCATTTTTCGCTTTTTGAAAACTGGTGGCGGTAAGCAGTAATTTGGATTTAGCTCACTTCACCCCCATGAAGTTTCCCTTTTGGTGGAAGGTTCCGGTGTTGACTTTGGAAAACAAAACGCTGAGCATACACGTAGTTTTAACGCTCCATTTTCTGACCGGTACGCATGTATCGCATGTAGCATTTAACATTATAAAAGTCAACCTATTAAGATAAGGCATAAGATGTCGTAGTCAAGTATGCGTGTTTTTTGGGCAAAAGAACTACTCGATATCCAGAAATTGGTAAGATCCATGTTCAGCGCGGTCAAACTTGGTTGCCTATTGTTAACTCTAACTCTTCTGTGCCTCTCGGATCAAGAAGGCCTACAAGTGCTGACCGCTTTGCTAGTTGTTTATGACATCCAATGCGCAACACCTACTCATGTAGGTGGTAATGCGCTGCGCTTGTCTAAATGGACTAGCAAACAATGTACAAGGTAGCTCGCCCTGGGCGGTGGGTGCAAAGTTCTGCGTTCAATCTTAGTCCCCCTAGTCGACACGGGACAAGGTATTCAGGCCAGTACGGTTTAGATCATACACCAGGTGCCGAAAAACGGGTCAAGGGTGGTCAGATTAAGTAATCTGGCGGTTGACAAGGGTATTGTCATCCTGCTACACACACCCGAACGTTTTGCACAAGAGAGATCTCCAGCTGAACTGGCCCAGCTTCTCGACTGACACCAAGCCATTTCCCAGCATAGCCCGGATATTTAGTTGTATGATAGATGACGATTGCTACAATTACGGTATAATACTGATTGCTGTGTGCTGTGCTTCTACACGACTATCCGGGAAGGCTACTCCGCCCGACTACATCACTATCAAGTTAGCCTACGTGCTTCGATAGGTTTGGTCGAAACCGTATGCGCAAACACATCTATCCGATTAATCTGGAGACCCAGGATACTCAGGTGAATCTCTAGTTCATCATTCTTCAAGTATGTTGATGATAACCACAGTAAGTACGGTGTTCACTGAGCAGATGACACAGGCGTCACACACAAACGTTACTACTGTATAAATATTTGCTGTTAGCATGTGGTTCATTGTAAATCGGAATCGGGTGACACAGGATGGATGCTGAGTTGGGATGGTACAGTGAAACATTCTCTGTGGGAGTGATAACGAAAGGTGTCGGTACAGAGATCGACTATCATCCCAATGAGAGACAATTTTGACATAGCAAATTAGGTTGAGGTGTACCATAGCTAAGAGATCCAAGGTATCCAATTAAGGTACGAAGTTGACTGAAATCGAGATACCACACTTACTTGGTACAATTCGATAGGTAGTAGGTTGCAAGAGGGTTTGAGTACCGAATGAAACATGAAGCGGCCTGATACAGCGGACACAGTGGAAGCGGTCTACCAAAAACGAAAGGCTCAGCTAGGTTCAGTTGATTCTCTTGTCAACCTGAGTTCGTGTGCAATTGAAAATCGCTGTCGAAATCTGTCTACTATCTGGGTTTGATGATAAAGGACGCTCGGGGACAGCGCCTACATGATGAGCTCTAAGAAGGACGTGACTGTTCGCGGGCTTTAAAAGAATTTGCATCGCTTTCATGATGAAGAGTTAGATGCGCACTGATACACAGATGACACAGCTACCCTGGAATTTATCTTCACCAAAATACAATTAAATTAAATAATCTTACTGCATACGTCCCACAGTTTGGTATGTTATTGAAAACTGTAAAATGTAAGGGGCTGTCACAGAAATGAGTAGTATACAATCCGAAACTCATGAGGTGAAGGGTGGCTGTAGCAGTCCTGGTGACCTAGATGACCGTCAGATGCGGGGCTTTTTCCAACCGGTGACATCCGTGGCGTGGGGGTGAAAGCAATATCTGTGAAGGGTTGGGTGTACTGTAATATAATTCTCTCTCTATTGTTATATGAATGATTAATCTGACAACTGCGAGCTGAGCGTGTTAGAAAAATGTTAGGACTAGGCCCTTTTCTGCCCTCGGAACTTGCTTCTGGTGAGAACATCGAATCAGTAACACTGGAATACTATGAATGCTTCTAAAGGGAAAGCCTCTTACGTAAGAGCTGAACTGATGTCCCTTCTTATGTCACGCCAACTTGGTCGCGTGCCTGGTTTTCATTGACTCGAATTCCTTCCTCTACAAACAACGAGCTCCAGAAGGTTTAGTGGACAGAACAATATATCCTACGAGTTGATGTACTGGTTTTGAAAACCAATCATCTAAATGTCGGAGATTTCTTACAAAAGAATTTCTGCAAAGTTCGGAGCCCGCAGTCGATTTCCGAGTGTCCTACCAAAATGAGAGCCGCTCTGTTGTAGCGAGATGGCTCAGGTGGTTAGAGCGTGAATTTACTGACCGGAGGGTCCGTGGTTCGAAGCCGACTTCTGCTTCTCGATTTCCCCTGTCTAGGCTTGGGCAGCCCTTATACTTCCTTCGGGTGGTATGGCAGCTAGGCACCGGAAGAGTGTTACAGCTGAACAATTCGACTTTTTGTTGAAGCATTCAGTAAGATGACTTCATTATTGACGTAAGAGGAAGTGAAATGGAAAACTCCATTCCCACTGACAATGTCTTTGCGAGAAAAAAATAATCAGTAATGCAGTAGAATTCAGTCTTCACCAAAGGCTATGTAAGTGTTCAGATAAAGACCTCTCATGGCACTCACGTGGCTGCCTGCTATATGTATGTACGATCAAGTTGGGACTGACTGCACCTTAGTGTCGGTAATGTGTCATCCACCAGGCTCTCGGTAAGAATGGGTTTTGTTTGCCGACTGTCTCGTATTGACAACATCACTCTGCATCTTTTACCGCCCCCTGTATTCAGGTGCACAGCCGGTCAGTCCTCGTGCTCTGCAGCAAATTTCACAAAGAGTATCCTTCCGACCGGTGCCTGCTACACTTTCCACGGAAGTAACAACGGTAAGGCTGTCTAACTCGTGCAGACCGTCTACATTTTTACTCACCCAGATGTTCACAGAAATCGTGCATTTGTTTCGCCAGACGTGCGTGTTTTGTTTCTTGGGGCACTTACATTCTTCAGATGATAGTTTTACTGCCTCACTGGTTGGTACTGGTAGGTACACGTGGCCAACAAGAATCCCGCCCGGTAGTTTTAGTTCTGATTGTTCGTGACCGTCCATCACGTTTTGAAGCTTAACGTGCATATTTCTAACCTTAGTTTCCTAGGAGCTGCTATCTACGTCAGTTAGTTATGTCTTGACGATTTTCTTCGAAGCCCCGTCTGTCATAGCTTGATTTCTCCTCTGTTTGCTGCAGATGTCGATGAATTTCAACTAACACTGGATCCACAAAGCTACGACTATATGATTCCTAACCAAGGATTTGTCGGCTTCCGTATTTTACTACACGGAAGAGGTGATCCGCTTTGGGGTACAATGCCTGGTGCGGTGTACGCCGGACCAACGTTTCATACGATGCTGCGAGTGGTCGGCCTGAAGAAAGCAAGTTGTCTAGATAGTTATTCTCCCTTTTATTGAAGTTCTCGAAAAAAATCAGGATAGTAGACATTATTTTAGTTTGTTTCCTCACCTAGTCACTTTGTAAACCAGTCTGTGCTTCGGAATGAATAATAAAAGGTCGAATCGCCAAACTATTTCACAGGGAATGCAAACATAAACGTTGTGATATGGTAGACCTCTTTTTCGACAAAATCCGTTACCAGTTACTGCCTCACTGGTTGGTACTGGTAGGTACACGTGGCCAACAAGAATCCCGCCCGGTAGTTTTAGTTCTGATTGTTCGTGACCGTCCATCACGTTTTGAAGCTTAACGTGCATATTTCTAACCTTAGTTTCCTAGGAGCTGCTATCTACGTCAGTTAGTTATGTCTTGACGATTTTCTTCGAAGCCCCGTCTGTCATAGCTTGATTTCTCCTCTGTTTGCTGCAGATGTCGATGAATTTCAACTAACACTGGATCCACAAAGCTACGACTATATGATTCCTAACCAAGGATTTGTCGGCTTCCGTATTTTACTACACGGAAGAGGTGATCCGCTTTGGGGTACAATGCCTGGTGCGGTGTACGCCGGACCAACGTTTCATACGATGCTGCGAGTGGTCGGCCTGAAGAAAGCAAGTTGTCTAGATAGTTATTCTCCCTTTTATTGAAGTTCTCGAAAAAAATCAGGATAGTAGACATTATTTTAGTTTGTTTCCTCACCTAGTCACTTTGTAAACCAGTCTGTGCTTCGGAATGAATAATAAAAGGTCGAATCGCCAAACTATTTCACAGGGAATGCAAACATAAACGTTGTGATATAATAGACCTTTTTTTTGGCAAAATCCGTCACCAGTAAAGCACTGTGCGGCACTCCTCAGAACTGTTTTATCGTAGCTAACCAGGGGTCGCGCCTTTCTATCAGTTGTTTCAGTTCCTTCATATTCTTTGCCCGGTAGACACTCCAATAAATACCCAGACACTTACCAGATCGTGAGGTAGGACCTCCCGATTTTAAGAGCCTTTTCTCAATTTATCGTGGACTATCATGATTTTTGGCCCCACCACTTTTGAGCCACTTCTTTCAGTATGTTATACTGGCTTTTCTAGACTGCATCGTCGTGTGCATTGATGGTTAGACAGAGCTTTCTGAAAAAAAGCTTCAGAATCTTGTGAATTCTGTTGCTTCCTAACACCTTATTTGCACTGGCAATAACTCCAAATGAATTGGGCATTGTGGTGCGTCACCTTCGTTTGTACTAAGTGAAGCAATCAGCTTAGTTTGCTGGCAAACATACCGGTCGATACTAAACGTCGTATAACGAAATCTGGAAGGGTTCAGTACTAGCGAGATTTCTTGAGGCGTAAAATGGCCTGGTCTGCAGTCAAGGTCTTGAGTATGTTTCCTGTCACTCCCAAACTGCCGATGGTAGCAACTATCTTTCCGGCTAAGCTATAGGCTTGTTAGATAAGACTGTATTTGCGCTTCTCCGATTTCATTCGTATCAATTTTTCCGGTTCATTTTTGGGACACATCAACTATACTTACTTCCGAAGCTTACCACATGTACTTTCAAAGGACGTCGGTATTTTTATCTATCGATAAGACGGGGATTAGTTAGCGACAGCGGCATCTCATGAGTTTCTTCCATAAACGCAGTGATCCCCTGCATGGTAGTGAACCATCCAACTGACTCTGATCGTAGTACCAGAAGAACGGGACTGTATGTTCAGTGTATTGCGCAAAACTGTGTGAAGTGGTATTTGAACAGATGGTCTCATCAAGAGAACGAAACGACTGACGTTTAGTCACATCGTACAGACCACAAAAGTGGGTAGGCTGCTTGCATTGCAGGCCAGTTGATTCTATGTCACATTTTGTAGCATCCATAAACCATCCTGACAGGAGGACAACAGTGAATAAGTTTCAAATCCGCTATGAAAGGAAGATTGTATGCACCCGCGCGTAATGCATGAAAGACTTTTAACTAACATATACTGCATTGATGTACCTTATGTCAAATCTAAACACAGGGAGAGCTTCCATCATAGAATATTAAACGAATCGACAGCAAACTTATAGACAGTGATGTCTGCTTTGATCAGACCGAGGCTTCGTGAACTTATCGGGTTGTGCTGCGGCTGAGTTTGAGTTTATCATGGTAACAGGTGGAGGGGGGCGAGATAGCTCAAGTGGTTAGAGCGCGAATTTACTGATCGGAAGGTCCGTGGTTCGAACCCGACCTCTGCCCCTCGACTTCCCCTGTCTAGGCTTGGGCAACCTGGCAGTATCCCAGCCCTCGTGCTTCCTTCGGGTAGCATGACAGCTAGGCACCGGAAGGGTGTTACGGCAAACTCAGTCTCCCAGTGGGGAGTTTTGGGCACAACTGTTCTCGGACATTCAATCTTGAGAAGCTAGGTAACGTGTACTCTGAAACAGCCGTCCTCAAGGCCCACAGAACCAAGCCTAGTGTAGATTCCAATCCATCTTTTCATTCATGGGATTGTCCAATATTCTGGGAGTCAGGCAGAACAAGGCACACAATAAACAGATAGGGTGTGAAGCGGAATAAATAGACACTCCTGTCAAGCTTGTGAGCTGCATTCATTGAAGATTGGAGCCATGGTATCAACTCGGGTCTTGCTGTGATAATTGTGAGATGGTGGAGTGGGAAGTTTGATTGGAATCCACACTAGGCCACGAGGACAGTTTTTTCAAAGTATGCATTGCATGGCCTTTCAAAATCGCGGTGGGCCTTCGGTGAATAAGAGTACTAAATCGTGCGTTCTGCTCAGCGCAACATGCACACCATAAGTGAAAAATGGCTGCGTATTCATCTTGAGGAATAGCTTGCGGTTCGCAAGTTCTTTTGTCTGAAATTACTATAGGTCAATAGATTCAATGGCACGATACCACAGATCCTACTATTATCTCTGTCAGTAGTAGGATACTCTGACTTTATCAATATTTGCCACACGTTTCGAATACTACAGCCCAGTCATCTATTTGGCGGGTGATTTTTCTCCCGTCCTATTGATCGTCCTTTCGTGACTTATGAAGTTTTCTCAGCCATAGAGCTCTTCCTGTTATCGCTGAACAGGAACACCTTTATAGTGAAGAAACACCATTCTCATTCATGATGCTTTTTCAACGGAAGTCGCGTGAGAGAATGCTTCTGTTCGAGTAACAAAAAAACTACACGCGGTGCGCGTGCAGGTTTTGAGTCTCAGGGTTTTCTTTGTGAATAGTTAGCGCCTGAGTAAAATAGATGAATAATTCCTAAAAATATCGGAGGACTGACTTCTAAATCTTTTTAGTGGTCTGAAACTTAAACAGTGCAACACGAAAAATCACTAGGTCTCGATAGCCAAGGCTATTTTTTGTTTCTTGTTAGGTTTGTCACCGTTTTTGGCGTTGTTACACTCACCGATCTGCATAGTTTGTCGTTTTAGCCTTATCCACGCCGAACTAGTTTTGTAGGTCCAGATACCCGTGCGGAATTTTTTTCAGCTAGATACCGATTGTGTCATAGGATGTGTCACACTGTCCAATCGTCTGATACTTGTCGCCATTTTCATACCCATACTTTTTAAGAAAAAATTCTGGGCTACAAGATTCGTCTAGCGTCCCATTTTGTGCTTTCCAAAATTAAAAGCATTAGCTCCGCTTTACTGCGGGTTGTCTGTGACAACTTGCGGATTGGCAAGCGTATCCTCGGAGGTGGTGTTAGACTAACTGGCAATTTTTTCCCAACTAATCCGTCTTGTTAATGTACTAAATAGAACTTGTTATTAGCTTCCACTTTGTATAGTGCAACTCAGTACACGGAGAAGTAAAAGAGAAGTCGACTGGGGTCTTCTAAGTGTGCACGCGACTAATTATTGACCAAACATGGAACACTTAGTTCCATTTGTTAACGTGGACAAATAAAATCCCATTGGGGCTTTGCAGAATCAGCTGTGTACGGATCACTGTTGGCACAATAAAAATGTTTTGTCAGCGGTAGAAACAAACTGTTCCAAAAGTACATTCATCCACCACTTTGCTGTCAAGAACTTTTTTCCCGATGAAAACTCGACTGACACTGAAAATTTACTTGCGCAGTCATAACTAAGCATTTGGGCTAATATTGAAAGCTGCTGATTAAAACCTGTTGTAATAAACCGTATTCACCTTAAACACCGGCTTACAATAATTGACTGAGTTTCTCTGAACCACCATCCATTCGCGCACCGCCGAGCGCATAGTGCTTGTGTGCGTGGGCAGATCAGGTGCATGAGAATGGGAGAAAAGTGGTGTGAGGCAAAATTTTATTCTGCGGAAAACTCGAGGCGGTGACACCTGCAGACTCAACACATGTTCCGAGTTAACAAAGAACAACTATGTTAGTCCAGTTGCATGGATGATCGCAGCTTTTTTGGGCTAAGCTTGTCAGGTTGGTTACGAAATTCCGGTTCCCCGGAAATATGACTGTTGATTTGCGCATTTGAGTTATTATTTTTAGCGCATACTGTTAATTGTAGCGGCTTTCGGGTGTCGGCAGCAAAGATCAAAGCAGAGACATTAGAAAAATGTGGACTGTCTTATTGAGCGTTACGGTGGTAAACATTCTACAATGAACCATGAGTGCTGATAAGATCGATCCATTCACGTTCATTGAAGCAGTGGCCGCGACAAAATGGTCATTGCTGACACAGCTTTGTCTGTCTGGACTAAAAAGGAACAGATATCATTCTTCGGCTGAGTGCTGTTCACTTTCTCACACAGATGCCAAATTAAAGTACGATCAATTTCTCTCGCCTCTCTGGAATGATCGTTTTACGTTGGTATTCGCTATGTGGGAGGTTTACTGTAGCTTTTTTGAAGGGAGAATCAGAAAACCAAACTTAAAGCTGTCGAAGGGGAACAGGTGCGCCATGGGCGAAATAGTCACGCAAATATCCTTATTGGAGCTCAAAGGAGCCTTGCTACCTGTTTTGGGAATTCACCTCTGTGTACCCCTCTATTTTGACGAGGTCTGCAACCAGCTAGGTGGATTCAGAGGATTCTTTGGGACGTGCAAACATTACTGTTTTTGTGAAATTAAATCGTTCGACGTCAGTAGGGAATCCATGCCTTGCACAGGCAGCACGCTGCCATTCCTATCAAATGGTGACCGTCCACTCGAAGACGAATTTAAACTTCAATCGTGCGTGGCTTCCGTTCTCAATGTACATCGATTTGCGCTTGACTGATGGGATTATGGTAAGTGCCAGTGAGTGGTCGTTCGCCTATTTCCCGAGTTTGGCATTCCTTTTCGTCTACCTTTTCGTCACCAATCGAAGTGACAACCGGGGCACTGTACGCATTCAAAGACCGGGGTTGTGGCCGTATATATTTGGCTTCTGTTGATCAGGGGGCACCCTCTGTCATAAAAAGCAGCTTTGAATGTCAGTGATTTGCAACTGAAGGGAATATTGAGAGCTCAAGTTGGCCACTGGCTTGTCCGATGAACCGGGCAGTTTGGTTGTAAACCGTTCATCACTAGTCATCGAGCTGACACCATCACTCGAGGTGCGTCGCACAGCCAATGGCCGTAGTCAGTCCGGTTGGCTGGTTGGTGCGTTCATGATCAGCAGCCAGGTAGCTTTTACCTCGGCAGCCCTGATTCGATTCGCAGATTGATGTTTACTTGCCAAACAACCAATAAACTTTAACAATGAACTTATTAATCAGCTGCATTCCTTTAGTTCTGGTTTGTCATGCAACACAAGGACTTAGTGTCCACAGAATGACGGAGGATTCAATCAATTTTATACCCTTTCGATCTTCTTCTTTTGCTAGATTTACAGACAACACTGTGTACCTCATCATCAATGGGCTCATTGTATGCATCAGTGTATGCAAGAGATGCTATACAAGCAGTGCCACTGCTATATGTCACGTGAGTTTGTTTTGAACGAATAAGGATTCATTTGATCCTTTTTACCGTAAGCTTTCAATATAATGAGAGAGCACCTCCCAATTTCACACGCAGAAACTCACTTCAATATGAAGGATTCAACAACAAAGAGTGGAAGAACAACCCTGTACTCCTCTGTCCAACACGAAACAATGGAAAACGTCTCGTGTCCTTCAAAAGTGGCGGACTGCTTTATCCACCGCTGGGTACTTTCTGTAGTTAGAAACTGGTCTTGGAACATAATACTAGACAAATTTGTTGTAGACACGTATTCGCCTCATGGTCTAACAACAGAAGAACCTAACAGTGAAGCTTAATGTCCGAAATACGTGCTAAAGCCTCTAGCTGCTTTAATTATCTGCCTGGCATTTTTGTCCCCTCAGATCATCAATGATTCATGGGCATAGGCATCCCCCATCTCATTTTCTGTTGCTCAAACGATTCTCTAGTTACCTCGAGAAGCAATTAAGCTACGTCGTATGACGGTTTTCCATCTTCTCCGCCCTTCAATCAAAAGAAGCGTCGCGGAATTTTTTTAGCTCAGCATTATGATGAAAATTTGAATCATGACATCATGAATATGGTGGATCAGGCCTTAGTTCGGGAGTTTCCAAAATCCTAATTCGCTGATTGTTTTCCCAATAATGCGAGGCTAACGCAACCAAATTATCCGACTTCCAAGTTGATCAAGTCTCTCACAAAGCGAAACAACCTGAGGCAACACTCAAGCGGCTTAAAATCATTGACTAACTAATCTCTTTAACATGCGATTTAAATGCGTACCAACCTTAATTGTCCAGATTACAGGCACTGATTTTAACTGTTCGTCAGTTAGCACGGTGAAGTAAGGACCTTTCATCACCTTCGTTGTCATCAACAGCACAGCCTCAGTGTTCAACATTGACGCTTCTAAGGCATCTATCTGAAAGCTTCATTGTGAAGAAAGCACTGAAAAGTGGATGGGGAAGGGACCCAGTGCTAAACTAATATAATCATTTCGAGGTGCCTACACCTCCAGACACTCATTCAGATATTCTGAAAAGAAAGTGACAACAAGAACGCCAGGGATATCGGTTGCCGCGTCTTCAACTGGGCGCAGCTGGGAGCGCGCATGCCCCACCGTGGAAGGTTAGTCGCACTGAGAGCAACCAAACTTTTTACAATCTGTTTTTTTCTGTATACCAGGTCAAAGGTTGACCACCTACTTGCTTAAGTCTTCAGAAAACGCCCTTACATAGGTAAATGGGTGAACACCTACGCATACACACCCCTTTGATTACGTGACGTTTTATTCGAGAAACTGATAAAGTTTACAGGTGATCTTTTCAAGCCTCCCTTCAAACTGTAGGTAAACGCGCTGTTTTATGGCGGCACCAAAACACGTAGGTTTCAACCTGCATTGTTCCCCAGACTTATTTATGTTGGCGTTGTCTTCGCATCTTAGCTAATTTCCCTGATGCTTCCGGTTCAACCAAATCCAAGTGGATTGCTGTGTCTATTAGAAATACTGATCCAACTTCAACTGCGTAGAATCTAACAACAATGGACTTAGTTTGTGTTATTCTGCGCTAAACTTCACGTTGAATTTCGTAATATCGAGGCCAGAATTTATCCAAACTAAGTTAACCAGTTGGAATTTGACAAAGTAGAACACAGAAATCAGAAGCACAACCTAGGAAACATACTCCAAACGCCAGATCGTTGAGAGCACAGGAGGGGAGGGCATTCATTTGGGAGGTTGAGGATGTCACAACAGAAGGGGTATCTAAGTGTTTTCTGCTGGATGTTGGTAAATGTAGGATGCAGTGAGCAAATATGGTCAGTCAGCATATTCTTATTGGCACTCACTTTGGCCGGCTGATGTTTTATGCACTCAGCTCTTCCCCTCCCATTAGGCGTTAACCACCGAAGTTTATCCCACTCATTCTGATGGAGCGTTATATCGTTTTTATCGCGTCCTCGTTCCGCAAACCTGATAAATAGATGTAGTCTGGTCAAAGAACCAGAAAAACGTTCGATTACTGAGACAGCCGGCCTTATTTTGAAGGCCCGATGTGCTAAATGATTTTACAAGACAGTTATTCTACATGCCCATTCGTGTACTTTTCTTTCTTGCTTGTCACAGATTGTACCCTGTTGCACATGATGCAATGCGGACGGAAGATGCACTCCATGGTTGGTAAGTTGAAGCCAAGCGCACAATTCTTTACTTGAGCATTTTAACAAAATTCGAGGATCGCACACATGTTGCAGACAGATAAGAGTTTACGGCGGAAAAGTTCAAGGAAGAAGGACATTATACGAAGTTCGGTAACTTTCATTAATAAAATCAGAGCGTGTTTCAAAGTGCCTAGGTCCGGGGACTGTCACATTCGTACTGTTATTCTACTCAGCGGGCGGATTAATTGGGAAATTCTCTTGAGAAATCGTTAGCCATCGAGAAAATAAAATGTAAACAATGTAGGCAGTTCAATTTTTCAGCTCAAAAACCAAACATCCATGTGAACTTGCTCCAGCTGAGTCGAATGGTAAGGGCTTTCAGACTTCGTTTCCATTTCATGGTCTGACCGTCTCTGGATAGTCTCCATTCGACGTATGGCTGGGAGAAGAGGGAACTGCTAGACTGTGGCATGCGACATACTTAGCCGATCCTTCGTACTATGTAGATTTTGACCGGCTGATCTATCGAAAGAGAGTAAGCTTCCTCGAAAACTTTAAAATTACTGGTCTGTTGTCTCCACCAAACCCATACAATATGTTAGAGGCAGCGATAGTCAGACAGAGAGAGCCTCCGAATTAGTTGCACGCGCATTGGTATGTCTCCATTCGATACTGTTGGACAGATGGGACGGCGGTGTTATACGTTTTATCCATGACTGTAAGGCTGATGTCACGCCGCGAAGGTCAGAGTTTAGTAAACGTTCCAATGACCTTCCTGAATAAGAAGTGATTTTATATTTCGCTAGTCCGCCAGAAACCGAAGTGATGTCGTGCGTTTCAAACTCTCTTTTCAATGGTCGCTTACACATAATGACACGTCTTCGGTTTCCACACTCATGAACACCACATTGGGTGAAGCCAAATGAATAACATTTTCTCAAAAAAATATACTACCTTGAAAAAATTCTCATCAGTTATTGCTGAAAAGTCCACGTGATCTCTGCCCTTTCTGCAGACAATCTTCCTCCAAGCAAGTGTCGATGTAAAAACCCATGTGAACAAGTGACCTATTCGATTGAATCAATCACACAAGCTTTGAAGCCGCCTCTTTTCAGCCTGATGAGTCCAAGAACAGATGCGTTACTTTCTTCAGATGGACTACTTGCTCCTGCTCCCAAACGGGTGCGCAGAGATATCGAAACTGTGAACCAGAACATGGAAGGGAAGGAGAAGAGCCTTCAGAAAAAGGAGATCAAGGTAGTTTTGGTTGATAACCGGCAGCCATATTTCTCAGTAGATCGTTGCAATGCAGTGCCTGCTTTCTGAAAAGTTTCACTACAACGTAGTGGCTGATGTTCTCTCACGAAAGAGCAGTTAGGTTATGTTTTTTAATCATTTTGGTGGTAAATCACGACTGAAGCCAGCAGGACCGCAGTTCGTTTTTTGCGCCGAGTTTTCAATGGTTTGTATACCTACGGAGAGGTTCCTGTTGGGGAAGTAGCTCGACTGGATGAAAGTAGTGGTAGGAGAAGACTTTGCATGCTAATATGCTTGTACGCATATTTGGGAGTAATTGTGATTTAAAGCGATCCACGTGATAAAGACGAAGCCAGAAAATGTCATTCTTTTGACAGTGCGGTAAAAGTTATCATCTACAGTCTAGTGTTTTTGAAGGAAGACAGCCCACTTGAAAAATCTTCGAAGATCTGTTTTGACGATCTTTCTACTTCATAAAAGTCTTTAGTTTCACACTAAGACCACACTGTTGAGATTTCAAAGCCCTGGTGTTTCTGTCAACTTACGGGCTGAACCTTCGGTTACTAGGATGGGCTTCCTACAGTTGCCTTCATTGTGTGAATATTCTTACGCACATTTTTTGGTACTGTATACAGACTGACTGTGTCAGAGAACCTATGCCTCAGTCCTCCGACAAATCCAACTCCAACAGGGAACGCTCTATCCTCAGTAACATTTTTATCCCGTAGATTTTCACCAGTTTTATCCTGGTCCAGGAAGAGACCCCTTGAACTTGAACAAAATTGACGTAATAGTTTCCTAGTTGGCTCCATTACCTGCTTTCAAAAGATGTGGTGAGAACTGCTTCGTTTTGTAATTGAAGACTGGAGTAAGACTCCAAAGAAACTCTGGAAACAACTTCTTGGAAGATTTTACGCTGATTCATAAAATAGAACCTACCACAAACTGTTAGTCAAACTTATCAATGTCTACATTGCAATGTCTGCATTGCAGTTCGTTGCTTGATTATCTTTGGGCTAGCTGATAGATATGTTCCTTTTAACCGAAAAGTTACATTTGCTTGCATGAACCAAGGCATTTGAGCTTTCTGTCCATTGCACTCTGATGCCATCTTCGCGATTAACTGTGTGACTTACTTGACAACGTATAGCAGCCCACGTATCCGGGATCATTTGTCTGCTCAGATCTGTTCTGGTAGATCGTCCAAGTCTTCTTCTCGAGTAATGGAGAACAATTCCATGAAAAAGTCAATGATAAGCTCACCAAATGAAAGATCCGGGGTGCCTACGGCCATGAACTGAGAACTTCTTTTTGCTGTTGCTCTCCTTTGGTTTCCAAACAGAATGAGGTGAACGTCACAGGTGTAACTTCAGCTATTGGACTTTGGTTATTCGGTAGTTAATAGAATGTGATGACACGGAAGCAGTTTCCCATGCTCACTAGCTGTAGGATTTTGCGTTTCTGACAATCCCTAAAATGAGGGAATGCTGCACTTACAAGTGAGAATATGTGAAATAGTTCAAACCGTTTTTATTTTGGGCTTTTCATAAAGTGCATTTACTGCGGTGCCACTTTTCACTGACCTAAGCTTACATCTTAGTGGCCATGCTCGACAGCCAACTTACTTAGCAGTGCTGCTAGGCCATAAGTTGTTTTGTTTGTGCTTTATGTTTTTGATCTGGTAGTCCTCAGAATTTTTAACTAGCTGCTGATATGATCGGTCAGTCTGACTACTCATTAGTAATAGGTAGGTTGTGCTATCAAATCATTGGTTCCCGTTGCTAAAACATGTTTTTTGGCACCTACTTCGCCATACAACCTGTTAAATTGGCTAAATATAAATAATGAGATTTCGTAAGAAAGCTGATTTCACGAACGGGATATTACGTCATCTCTAGATAAAAATATCGTTGAACCTTTTGACCATTCACCTACTTTTGACGACACTGAAACGCATAAATGCCAGCAGTTACGCAAGTTTGAATGATGACCCATATATTCAATACGTTGATCAAGTGTTGGAAACTTTCATCGCATTCTAATAGGATGGATTTCTAATCCAACTGTGGGCATTCCTCCGCGAATCTAACCGAACAGCCTTCGAGGAATTCCGTCACTTGTCACGGTTGCTGCAGAGCTTACACATGGATCTTCAGATAGTTGAAAGGGCAGTCTCGGTGGTGCAGTTTACTCACCATCTATCCAGTCCACAACACAATCCCGTAAAATGGGATGAGGCAACCGATCGCTCAAAAGACGGTCCGAAGCCAAATCACTCAAAGGACGATGGTCTGTGCTTGGAAAGCGAGGAAGACGCCCGCATGCTTTCCCGGGTGCGTCGTTTGGGCGAGGAATTCGTCCGTCTATTTCGCCAAAGCGTTCTTTTCCGTGATCTTACACTAATCCCCGGAGAAGACTTCCACATTCACATGGTGCGTCTTTTCTTTCTACGTGTGGTAGACGAATTAGATCATTTGGCCAGTCAACTGCAGCACAACGATTTGTTTTCTGATGTGACTATGCTGGACTTACAAAGAAAAGCGCATCAGTGCAAGCAAACTGGGGGCAATCACTTGACCAACGGAAATCGTTCATCGGATTGGCTTTCGATGCTTGTAGATGGTCATACTCGACTAACGGAATCTTCAGGGGATATTGCCAGCCTGCAAGCGGTTCTTCTAGCCACGGATACACAGTTCAAACAACTTCGTTCTGCGTTTGTCAAGCTTACAACAGATAATCAAGAGTTGATTGAACTGGTCCCGATTGAGCAGCTGAAGCGTTTATCATCTTTTCACGTTGATCAAAGGTATGTTTCGACTAAGGAGTTGTTTTTCTTCTTCAACTAATGATTATGTTCTAAAAAATCGGACTAAATAATGGGAATTTTCCTCATTGACCCCAGTTTTCCTGGACCAAGTTGTTCAAGATGTCTCCGGGATAGTTTTTTGAATATCCAACACAATCGCGTGGGTTGATTCTGAAGCACTTAACATTTCTAGACAACAAATTGACTTGTTTTTCGTGAGGATAACTGAAACTGATGCTTGTCAGAGGTTCGCTGTTTCTTAAAGACGGCATTCGTGATTGCAAACGCGTGTGGCGTCACGTATAAAAGTTAGCTATATGGCTGATTATCGTGAGTTGTTAATTTCCAAGGCATGTTGAGCCTCATATTCTGGGCTGTTATATTCCCAAAGTGAGGTTGTAAGTAGTACAAGCCTTGAAGTGAAGCTCCATTTACCAGCATCGTCATTTTGCGGCTGTTTAAAGAAAAACTGCGGCTTTCGACACATGCAAACAACTTTCAGGAAGCCTCTCAGGTGTGAAACGCAGTTAGCCAATTCCAAACGGTCATCGAGGCATGTTCTCCATTGCCCGATTTGGTTCTCTATAGAAGCCAGATGACTTAGTCTCGGACATTGGGCGCTTTCGAATCTATGTGGTTTTTCATGCATGCTTCAGTCAGCATTCTTCAAAAGTTATATGCTTGCGATCTGTCAAGGGAGTAAAATTGTGCGTGGATTCAAGACATGGACTTGGGGTGAGAACCTATTGGTTATTCAGCGAAATACACTCATTTGCAAACTAATTGGGTTTTGCGAGGGACTCACCTGGAACCCAGCTGAATCTCTCGGTTTTGATGTTTCCAGGTAATTTGTTGTCGGCTGCATGTGCCCACCAAGATGCAGTTCGAATGAGTACTTAGAACACAGCCTTCCCCAATAAAATGCTCCTGATGGTTGACAGAATATGAATGACAAACTGACGACTTGTGGAAAATTACCCAGTCCCCTTTTGAACCTAACTGAATAACTTGGACAAATTTGACACCCTTCTAGGAATAACGAGGTGAAATTTAGAGACGACTGTAAACTAAGTTATGCTAAAATTCATACTGCACTTCGCTGTATCACAATTTCTTTCTACTGAAAGGCATCAGTCTCCGATTTTTTTCTCACCCCCATTATCGTCATCATTCATGGGGATGGATGTCAGTGGTTCATTGCCTCACCAAATCTAGTGGATTATTGGTCCACCAGAAACTATCATAAATTCAATAGAAAAACTTCTGGCGTACGTTGTGATCGAACAGTGCCCACCTATTTGCCCAGTTCTCACTGCCTGATCCGCAGGAGAATGCCATCCCGGGCAAAACGTGCCCAGACGTGGATAATTGAATCTGATCACCATGTTTCAATGACAGACGGAGAACTAGACGTATGACTGGTACATTGTAGGTTACGAATGGCTAATATAATTATCGTGTAGCTTAGCGTGGATACCGTAAAAACAGGGAATTGTTGGTTTCTTGGGATTTCCCGATCGATACTATTCGTACCAGCAATTCTCTAAACCGATTGAGAGTTAATTTCTGCACCCTTTTGACCCAAAAAACGAAAATAAAATTTAGTTTGTAAAACCTTCAGCTTAGCTCTCTCCTTCCCACAAACCACCAACCATTTAGTAAATCGTCTCTGACCCCAAGAAGAGCAGTCATAATCGCAGTGTGAAGCAGTTTCGACAACTCTATCAGTTGGTGAATTTTATGCTTATGTTTATGAAAAACGGACTCGAGTTCAATAAAAATAAAGCTACTGGAAGAGCCAAAAAGCATGTGATAAGGTTTTGTGAGGCTGACATGGCTCAGTGGGGTTAGGGCGCGAATGTACTTGCCGGAAAGTGCGTGCTTCGAACCAAACGTCTGCAACTCGACTGCTCGTGTCTAGCCTTGAGCTTCCATTCATCCTTCGGATGGCATGTCAACTAGGAACCGCACGGGTGCTACAGCTGAACCATTATACATTTGTACGGAAAGTCAAGCGCTGTCAATTCTGTCTGTGCACTTCTGAGCTCTGAGATACAGAGAGTCCGCATTGCATATCTGTACAGCTTGTGTTCGTAAACGACCTTATGACGGATTAGTTCAGCTGGAATTGAATGGAGTTGGATGGTTGGTACGAATCGAGGATATCCAAGACTTGGTCACAAGGGCAACAATATGGATTTTCACATCTTTCAAAAAATTTCTGGGTACGTCCTTAAAAGCGGTGATAAAATCCTGATTATCATTGATCTGGTTTACACAATATTTCCAAATTTCAAGGCTGAGTCGGTATCCGGTTACATAGTTTGAACCGTCTACATCGCTGTCTTGAGAAGATGGCTGATCCAATTTTTTGTCGTTGTTTGTTTGATGGAATCCAAACCAATGAAAACTTCAAGGCAGTTTATCTCATCGACGTTTTGCCGTCTCCAGTGTGGTCAATCACGTCGGTTAAGTGATTTGATGGTGGGCGGGTGTTGGCTATTCGATGACCCGGTTCTGTTGAACTATCAAACTAAAAGCTTTCGAAAGCAATAGTTCGACAGCCCTTCTAGTATTTTCAGGAAATAATGAACTTTCATCAACATACATGTCTTGCGTTGCGATTAAGGCCACCGAAGTGAGCTGGTACTTAGGTAGCTTGTCGGCGTCGTTGCTACTAATAGACTTCCCTTTCCACGGTTTGCTTCGTTCGGAGTTCCGAGTTTCGGTCATGTTGTCGACTTTAGTTTGCTGTGCAGCTCTTTGATCTAACATTGTTAAGCGGCTGATGATCGACGAATACATAGTTTGAACTGATAAATGGACGTCGATTTGTCGGCGGTTTTTGGTTCATTCGGCTTGGAGATCATAAGGTTGATGAAGACTGGACGACACGGATCCGGAGACTAGACACGACTGATGATCTCCAAGAAGAAAGAAATATGTGGTGGGGTGTTCAAAAATTTTCGTTGACCTCACTAATGATTTTATATCAGGGCAGCTAAGGACATATCGTAGGTACCACATCAACCGAAACACAAGGTAGCCTTTTTGGAGCACATTATAAATGAGATACTCACATGGAATTTGGTCGAATTTCCTCTTGACCACATCGTAATTTATCTAAACTCAACGCATTACTCAAAAGATGGCTGAAAACCCAAAGCGGTAAATCGCAATTTGTGTTGCCATTTGGAAAAGCCAAATTTAAGCGAGGAAAACGAGGTACTGAGCACCCGAATTGCCAGTTGTGACGTTTCCGAGAACTTGAAATACTTAGAAAGAATTGGACGTCTGATTGCTTAGACACTGGCGACCTACTCAGTTACAGTGATAAACATCAGCTGATTGTATTCGGGAGAACGACAGCGAATGTTTATAATTTGTTTATTCTTGAGTCAGCCAACTATTATTTCAACACGTGATATGGACCGAAAGGATCCAATAAGTATATCAACACCACTGGTCAAAGCTATTGCCTTCAGTGCATAGCTCCTTTTACACCCACCCCCACTTGTCAGCCCACTGACAGTGCTGGACTTATGCACCAACTTACCAGCTCGCGCCTGCAATGCGCAGCTACCTAACCCCTCCCCCAAATCATCGGTGAGCGAAACTGCGGCAGCTACAACCACTGTACGACGAGTACGCTGACAATGATGATGATTCTTTTTTATGACCCAGACTAGTAGAACCTGTCTTAATTTCCGTAATCATCCCGCGGACTCTCGTCCTGGGATTCCACTTCTGAAGAATTAAACAGATAAAAAGCAGTGGTATTCTTAGTACGAGGCAGTCTGGTGTTAAAGTCGTACTATATTTTGTGCCCGAAGTGCGAACTGTTAAGACCTTCTTCCCAGGCAACCAGCATACCCATATTTACGAAAATAGCAATGCTGCATTCCCCCAAGGAAAGAAAGCTGGGAAAGACCGGCCGCCCAACACCTGACCATGGCTACCAGCGAATTATTCATTGCGGCCGAAAAACATATAGGCCCAAGGCCTTCGCTGCTTTTCAGAATGCACTTGCTGCTCATTGGGGGTCGGATGTTTGTTCCCCACATCATGCAATTTCGGATTAGGCAAGCTTTGTACAACCAAGTGAGTCGGACTACTGGCCCCGAGCAGGGTCCTGGAGCTGAGCACCACCTCTCCCGTTACTTTGTGGGTTATAAGTTTGTTTCCAAGGTCTCAAGGTAAGATGCGGGAAACAAACATTTTTTGCTTGAGAAACACGTGGCCACAAATTGTGAGGAAGGAGGCTACCCTCCTTAATCCATCATCTCTAACTAAAATTACCACCTACTGCGAACAAAGCACTTTCTGTTTGTAGACGTGAAAATTGAGCGTAGATTCCTAGCTTTCTAGAACGGAAAGTGGAACATCAAAATGCAATAACAATACTAACGGATCTGTTCAAAGTGGTAAATCGTTCATATCATACAACATCATACCCCATACGATTTCCTTTTGAGAATTCAAAACGTCATGTCTCTAAAACAAGCGTACAGGACTGTGTTACGGTAATGCATTTGAACACAGCCCAAAGCAGCTTAGTAAATCCATGGTCTGCCCTCTGGGTGTCAGGTATTCCTGAGGCAGCTCCCCGTCACCTTAATAGTGTGGCTTCCCTGTTTATTGCGGGAGTTATAGTAGTCGGACTGATCGGGTATATTAGAAGCCCTAACCAGCTACCCAAAAGCCGAACTCTATCTCTTACCGCTACATTCGCTCTAACAAAATATCCCAGTTGTCCGAGACACCTTCTTGTTGAGAAACCTGAGCCTTGTGCGGATGGAAAATGCCACGGGTACAACTATTCTGGTGGGTGATTCGAATGAACATTTGGGATGAATCGAAAAGCATGAGAGGCGCTCAAGTTTTCCAAGAAGCAACAGGGTCGGGAACCTCATAAAGCTGTTTGCTGGTCACCATTTATTTGTCGCAAACTAAAACTTCCAGTATAAACTTGAGCTTTATGTTATTAAACCGTAATCAGTCGAGCATAACAAATAGCTTTAGATATCAGTATTGTGTACAAGGCTGTCGCTCTTTTGAACGCACGGCATCGGCACGTGTTGCAGCTCGGTTCTCAATGACCAGATGAAAAAGTGTTTACCACTATGATATTCACTACCTGTAAATGGGCACTTGTCGAAGAAATCAGTCTGCAATCGTCTAGATAACTCACGAAGGTGAAACAACATAGCAGGCCAACTGAAGACTGGATTGATATCCAAAAGGATACTAATTCGGCGTCTGACCCTATGCATTCCACAGCTGCCTCACAGCTCAGTTTAATTTAGACTTCACGAGGCTTCGTGTCCCTGTTCGAGGTGAGAAAGACAGTCCCACTGAAAAGATACAGTGACTCAGCAAGATCTTGAAATGTCTCCTGACTCACCTTTCATGGATAAATCGGGAACAGTGGTGGTTAATGAAGACTCCTGAGGTGGAAAAATCGGCGAAGGTTGGAAATAATCCAACTCTCTCCCAGCTTGTACGGAACGCCAGGCTACGTGGTCATCCTACGTATGTTCACCAGTACTTGTGAGGGCAAAGTCACGGGACCAGACAGGTTCGTGGACACAATGACCACATCGTTACGTTACGACAACCGCCACACATTCAGAAGACCAACAGCTGTTATCTACCGAGCGCCAAAGGCGCTATTTGACCCCGGTCGCATTGATCTGTGACGGTCTCAGCTACAAAGGTGTGCTTAATTTTTCCAGTAATCATACTCCAACATCCGTGGGCGCGTGAATTTCTGCGGAGAGCATTTGGCTGAGTTCATTCCAAAAACAGGTGCTCGTTGAGTCTATTTTTTGTCCTCTTTTAACTTCGAAGACAAGTCGTGAATCATGTTGTGGGGTTTGCGTAATTACCCTGGTGAATTCACACCTAAGGGGGGGGGGTTCGAAGCACCGGACTCGAGTTCCGCTCTTATTAGAGCTCAGCAGCAGACCATATCCAATGGCCATGTCAGGGGTTTGAACTCCAGACACCTGGCGTGCGAGGAGAACGCGTTATCACTATTCCACCAGCGCATGTTGGATGCATCTGAATTCTCAGATCTGAACGGGCTAACGTGTTCTCGCTTGAGTGATGTGATTGGCATGCCCGACACATCATCGATATGACTACCCAGTAACTGTCCGAGTTGTGATGATCCATTGGACCGCTTGACAGGACTTCCCGAACTTACTGACCGGAATGTCCATGGTTCGAACACGATCTCTTCATCTCGACTGCCCCTGTTTTGGGCAACCTGACCGGAATGTCCATGGTTCGAACCCGATCTCTTCATCTCGACTGCCCCTGTCTAGGTTGGGCAACTTGGCAGTATATCTACCGACTTTCGGATGGTGTATTAGCTCGGCATCGAACTGTTGCTACAGCTGAACCAACCTCCATCATGGAAATAGTTTCTGGAGAGGATCTCACAGACCTAGACCATGGGGACAAAACTTCGCTGCTTAGTTCAGATTCCATCCAGACACGAAATACACCAAATAATCCAAAGAATATTTCCGTGCATTATGATGTGCCCTCTACAGCCTCGAATTGCAAAGTTTTATTGCAAGACTGGGCGCATACACCACCAAAGTTTGTTGGGATGTCAGAACGTGCGCTGGTAACGGCCAGATTTATCTATCTGTGTAGTTGTATAGCGTCGGCAGAATCGCTGAGGAGTTGAAGAATGAAACCTTTAAAACCTGTCCTGATTCCCTTCAGCTAAAAAATCCCGGATATTGACGCGGCACTAGTCTGTCGAAGAAAGGCGGGATACATTTTTGCTCTAGGGCTTTGAAACCTGTCCACTTTGCGCTGAAGAGTTTGGCAGTTTATGAAAATTCACACGTTTGAATCTATCACGAGAAGTTCGGATTACCAATGTTGCATTGAGACGAATGATCTTTGGCAACAAATCAGATGCCTCAACAAAGCTGGCTAGCCTATATTCCTATATCAGATGATCATTTGCCGCGCCATGCCCTATTTTTGAGGGAGGTTTCGATTGGGAGCTACCACATGGTCTACAGCACGTGATCTGGGGACGAAGTATGTCGTCTGTGAGGTTAAACTATCCTAGACCCACCAGTATTCACTGACACTCAAATATCGTACAACCACTAGCTGTATTTTATATGTTCTCTTTTCTGCAGTCACTCATCGGTTGCTCAGTGTTATGTGTTTTCCCTGGCCCTGTTTATCTAACACTGTTCCAAGCTGCGATGATTCGTGCTACAGTAAAAATGTAAACGGCTGACGACTGTAAAACTAATCTGACTTGCTACGAATAGCACCAGACTATTACTGTCGTTTCAGCCTCAAAATGCCGTCTACTCACCTATATACGTAGTGCACTACTCACAAGGTTGCTGGAATTTTCCGATAGCCCATGACCGGCTTGGCCCTTCTTGAAGCTCTTCAGGTAGGCGCAGTCCCTGACATTCCCCCAACCTTATGTTGCAATTTAAATCAAATTGCACGAAATTAGCGGAATACACTCACTTGCAAGCAAATTTAGTTTCAGCTGGTTTCATCTACTCAGCTATTATGACCTGGATGTCTCATCCCATCACTTATCGATTTGATTTAACGCTTACCTTGAGAATTCAAATCAACTGCACCCAGACAAAACTAGCGCGCTGAAGAACAGCCTTCTATTTGTTCCTATGACTCCACAGCCAATTTATAATTCAGAGACCCGATTATTTCAGCAGTCTCGCTTTCCGGTTGGTTTGGTTTGTTGGCTTTCGTTTCACTCCCAGTGCATTATTCATCTCATTTCTTTAGAACTCGGGTCAATCCACCTAGAGCTCCATGTACCAGGAGGTGAATTTGTTGGGTATAATATCAAAGTGGAGTTGGAGAATAGACTGGAATTATGGAAGAAGGAAGGATGTCATGAAAATACTACATTTATTTAGAAGGCACTGCTCTAGGCTATCTATTAATTGCTGGTCAGTCATCAGGTGATATTATAGATGGACAGGTTGTAATGAAAGCAAAGATGAGTTTGAACATTAACTAACTGCTGGAACTTGTGGAAAGGATAGAAGAGGCGTTGGGAATATGAGTGGAGAGTTACGGTAAGCTTCGTTGTGTTTGCTGATAACAAGTTTTACAAGTACGTCTGTTGATATTCCACAATGGCTGGTAATTAGCTTCAGGATACTTGCGGACTGGTCGATTGAGGTGGTAGGATATTTGTTTCCCTGGGCAGTTCGGTCACTTTTGGTGGTCTAACCATCCGAGTTCGGTTCGGTCACTTTTGGTGGTCTAACCATCCGAATTGGGAAGACCAGAGCAGCTTTTATAGACCGGCGTCAGCTATGGCGCAGACGTGACATCAGTTTATCTGTCAAAGTTCCAGTTTAAAATCCTGCATCTTATTAGAAGGTAAAAACCTGGTTTGAACCCAACCTCAGAATCTGAAATGCTCCTGTCTATGCTTGGGCAACCCGAGATTATCTCGGCTTCCATGACTCCTTCAGGTGTTATGGCAATTTGGTGCCGAAACAGTAATAAAAGATTATCATATATCATTATTATTATCATCAATATTATGGATCAGAAGCATGGTCGTTATATGCTGATGTCATTGAGAAACTTTCGGTGCTTGAGCATCGATGTCTTCGAATCACTGCCCAGGTCTGGTGGGAACACCAGATCGGTAGTGCTAAGGTGCGTCGAATGGTTTACAGAAGAAATAACTCACCCACCACAGATGGAAAAATCACACTCCAGTGGATGCGCTAGCTTGGTCACTTTTTTCGAAGAGCTGGCCGAATTCCTCGAACATTCGTCTTTGCAGGACCACTTGAGGGTGGAAAAGAACCAGGGAGGACAAGCAGTGGTTTGACAATAAGCTCAGCTGCGCTAGCCATTACTGGTTCCCTGGATGGAGACTGCGAGAAGTGCCACACTGATGGTTAGATACATTGCCAGACATGGCCCAGTCGCGCGCCCAATGACGCACGTGCAACAAGCGTGTTGCTTTCAATACATAACTTTCGTTTCCAGTCTTCCAATGGAAAGTAAATTGACACCCTTGTATCGACGCATCAGTCATTTCAGCTACCAATTGCAAATCATAGCTATCTATCCCTACCTTCTCAGACTATCGTGAATGAAACTGTAGCAGCTATAACCACTGTGCAGTAAGTGTACGATTTTGTGGCTAAAGATGACGATGAAGAAGAGGAGCAGGTGCACAATAATAGAAAACTGCTCTCACAAACTATACTTTATGGTAATGGTTCTTCACCGACGGTCTGGTAAATAGTCGATTTGCTGTGAAGGGACAAATGGAGTGACAGACGGAGTGAGATTACGAGGTAAATGCATTATTCCGAGCTTGAGCTATTCTTCGGTGAAAGAAGACCGTTTGGGGGGTTAAAAATGGTTAGTCACATGTGTTTCTTAAGGAAGGGTCCTCGTTAGTGGTGGTAGGAGGAAGGCCCTTGAGCAAGTGATCGATAAAACTTCCTTAAGTGAGGGGATTCACATATGATCACGACTTGTTAGATAAACACTCAAGTACTGTCAACACTGAACAAAAACCTCGGGAATGAGCATTCTACCGAGGACTGGAGTTCCAGCCCACCGGGCTTTAAAATTGAGTCTGCTTGTCCAAAAACTTCAAGTAGCTGGACGGAACGCACCCCACTGGAGTCTTTCGAGAGAAAATGTAACACCTCTTCGCCATCCACGTTGCTAAATACAGTAACGACGTCCGATAAAAGCAGTTGATATTTTCCCCGGGCTCGGTGGTGGCTTGTAAAAGTTCTGTTGCCATACAAAAAGACATCGTCAGCGCGCGATTGCTTGAGTCTACTTGCGTTTACGCGGTTTTAAAAGAGAATTTAATGTCTCTAAACTGAAGTTTCGCCTTCACTACACTTGCTAGGTCTAGATGGGTTTTACGCTGTACTGCGCTTCAGTTAACTTCCATGTGATAAGTTCGCTAATTTCTTTGATTAAGTGATTCTGCTTATCCCTCTCGGTTAGCTGTTTTACTTTCTTAAGTTTCAAACTGTTTCCTATAGATGGGATCGACAGGTGAACGCGTTCCATTTTGATCATTTTACTTTCACTGTTTTAATTGTCTGCCGCCAAGTTCGTCTGGCGTCCTGACCTGATTTCCTTGTGTCTCGTTCTGTTCATTGGGCAATGTTCTGCTTTGTGCAATTTTCGTTTGTTGTGCTGTCTGGTCTCTTGATCGTTGGTCCATAACCTGATTGGTTGTACATTCTGTTGGCTTTAATTTTACCCTTGGCCTGTTATATCGGTTTGCTTTCTGTGTTCTTCTTTGGTTCTGAGTTTGTTGGAGAAAGGGAATGATTGCGACGCATTGGAAGTAATAGCCCAATCGGTGGTTCTTGTTATCCGGTATTAAAAA